CGTTGTATTTATAGGTATCGATTAGTGTAGCCGCGCTAGGAAGATTTGGGTCATCAGCTGTTTCGCGCATTGTTCGCTATAGAAAAGGAGCTCCTCCTCACACACCCCTTCACGCCCCCAGCACCGTCGTCGACGTCGTCGCAGTCGACCTCTCCCTCCCCCCCCCTCCCAATACACGACACGGTTCATCTCCGTTGTTGTTGCCTTTGTTGTTATTCACGCTGTTCTTGCGGCTGTTGTTGCTGGCGTTGCGCGTCTGCAGCTATAATTTGGCCGTGCCAGGTGCATTAATCGCAGCGGAAATTCGCGGAATTGAATTTTTACACGCGGTTAATACGAGAACGCGACCGACGATAAGGCCAGCCTCGGGCTCCCCCTGCTAATCCTTCGTTCCTTTTCGTTTTCTACTCGCTCTTTCGGCCAGATTATATTCCAGACTCGTGCCCGCAAGCTTATCAGAGAATGCGCGACACGTCGCCTTTACGTGCCATCTCGTGAATTCGCGGGGTGAAATTGACGAAAGTACGCGACATCGAGAATCGAACGCCTCAACTTTTTTTCATCCGTTTGCACGTTTAAGCTAGGGATAAGGCCTTGCTCACAATCGCGACTCGAGCTCGCGATTAATTAGCCGTCGGGCAGCTAATTTCACGCGAGAAGTATTTGGCCCGCGAATCGCGGCTACATTCCACTCGCCGTTTTGCACACGGGGTTTTTGTTTTGTTTTGTTTACCATTTTCCACTATCGGTATCGATCGCTCGTCAGCAAACACCCCCCGGTTCCTCACGGCCCCGCGGCGCTCCGCGCCCCACTCACATCACGCTGCTCTCCTTCGACTTTCGCTGTCTTTTTCCCAACTTCGTTGCTACTATAGAGTGCCCCAGTGTTATTCGGTACGGAATTGATTGAATTAGCGCGACTTTGTTTAATCTTCCGTTTGTACGTATATCGCTTCACTAGGAGGAAGCTAGCGCTTAATTAATAATGCACCCATCGCAGTATACCAATTAATTACTTATTCCAGCCGCTACGCAAACCCTATTCTTCTCTATCGATAAAGAAAGAAGAGAGAGAGAGAGAGAGAGAGAGAGAGAGAGAGAGGAGAAGTTGCTTAATTAATTGACCCATATCGCGCATCACGTCGCCAAAGTCGGAAACGCATGGATTTGCGTTATGGTAAACAAAATAAATAAATAAATTAAAAAAAAATCACCCTCTAATCGCTGAATGACGTAACGTGGGAAGACGTCTCATTTTGCGCGGGCAGTGAACCTTCCAAATTTCCTTGTCCCGTCTGGCTTTATCGTCTGCTGCCGATTCCGACCCGACGAACATAAATTCGGAAGGAGATTCGGGAACAAAGCGACGTTCCACGCTGGAAAAACGTGCGGACCCTCGGGAAGCCCTGATTTACGTCGACCGGACGTCTCACCTCGCCCATCAACCCAATCGCCTCTCCCCATCCACTAGACGACGTACGTGAGAACAACCTACGTAACGCAATCCCCGACCGGACATTCGGCTCTCGAGTTTCGCGATGTAAGCCTACGCCTTCGCCTTCGCCTCTTCATCGTTCACCACCTGTTGGCCACGAAGAGACAAACAGATATATATATATATATATATATATATATATATATATATATATATATATATAGAGAGAGAGAGAGAGAGAGAGAGAGAGAGAGGTTCCGTCCCTTTGTTCCCGGCATTTCGTCCGATTTTCCACCTCAACGCCGTCGCTGCCGCTACCAATAAACTCGCCTTGGACGACTTGATGATCCTAAGGCGAGACCCATCACCCCAATGTGCCCAAGACACCGCTTTCTCTCCTATCGCCACGACGATACTCTCAATGCGCTCCTGCACTCGCTCGTCGCCCCTTCCTTGTTTACGCTCGGCCGATATCTCGGCTCGAAGATGCGTACGGGCCCTCCTTCAATTTGAAATTGAACATCGCTTCGGAGCTCCTCTTTATGCGTAGATGCTTCGCAGCGGGCGTCCATCGCTCGAATGGTAGCCCCGCATTTTCTCCTCGCTTTTTCCAAAAGTTCCTATGTAATTTACAAGCGACTACACGCACATTGAATCGAAGATAAGATTTCGTTTTCCTTAGTTGCGCCAGCTGATAGGCACTTAGGCACTTTATGCCTTGGATACATTTAACATAAATAATAGCGCATTGCTGGGAAATTATTTATCGGCATTAGTAGTCCTGACAATGTAAGCTGATCCCTGCTCGCGCTACCTAAGTGATGAATATGAACAGAAAAGCGCGCTTAACATCGGACGACCATGACTTTTATCCGTGAGCATTTGCTACGTACCTTATTATCCGCGCGAGGGCCGCGGATCGAATAAAATACGAATTCCGAAAATTATGGCCATCTGTCTTCATTGGTACGACCTTTTTTTTCAAGAATGTGCACTCGAGTATCGTGTAAAAACACGAGACGACATACTTGAACGTTACCCAGGATCATATAGTCTCCTGCTTAGTATCCCTTACTGCCCTCTCAACATAATATTTGGTTAGGCATCCGTCTAACGCCCACGCAAAATCATTCACAAAGCGCGTACAGTAAGAGTAGTAACATTCCGAACAAAACGCGATAGTTAACGATCGCGATTCCCGTTCCTTAACGGCTTCTCGGCCCATCATCATCCCCTCCATATCCTACCAATTGCAGATTGAAGCAAATGAAGTTTTGTTTACCGTAACGTCCAGCGAATAAACATGAATTCACTACTTTTTTCAGACCTGTATCTCTTCAATACTTTCTACTCTTGCGCGTAAGAGCGTAATTTAATCGGAGCCAAACAAAGCCACGAACGCAAGAAATATTATTCCGAGTGCGCGAATTCACGTGCCGCAAAATGCAATAAAATACAAAAGGTTTCTCCAGTCGAATACGCGTAAAATATCATACATTATGCAACGTTTTGCAGCGAAGCGAACGCTTTCTACATAACCAAGTACACGCAGCACAATGTTAAAGAGGCTACTGGCTTTGGCGAAGACTGTCTTCGAAATATCAAGTAACATCGCGCCTTGAAGCGAAAATGTTTAATCCAACAGAAGTAAAATCACGCTCTAACGAGCGCAACGACAAGAAATTCTTCCGCGCCAAACGTTCTTGCGTCCTAACCCAAGCTGAAAGCGATTCCAAGGTAAATCCAGATCAGGTTGCGCTTTTACTGCCGCCGGATTTATCCCCCTCCCTTGCCCCGGGTGCCAAGTTCGATCGCCCCGCTGATAACGGCACATTGGGCCGTGGAGAAAAAGAGATGCAGACAAAAACAAAAAACACAAAATGAAAAAAAAGACGCGTTATGACGACGTTGTCGGCGCCCGATCCATCCAGGATTTCAGCCGTTGTTTCGCCGTCACGGTGGCCATTTTCACTAGGCGGCTACCGAACGGCTCGAGCGCTCCTTCATTATCGGGTCTCTTTTTTCGAGTGGGAGCCTCGTTACGCTCGGAGGCCTTACGACCGCCACGGCTACGACTAACGGCTAAATTTTGCCAAAATC